TAATCACATGTTAATTGTTACTACTTACCTTGTCACATGTACTATTCTTATATCATATATTAAATTTTGTTTAAATATTTTTGAAATGGGTTCATACTAAAATCAAACTTCATGTCTTTAAAAATAATTTCAATTGCAATAAAAATATTTTTATAAATATTAAGATTATTTATACCTATCTTTTTCCAAATTTTAACTGAAATTTCTTTGTATATCTGTGGTAACATCCAATTTTGCATCTAAGAGTCATCTTTAACCAGGTGAGGTGGCACATGCCTGCCTTTAATGCCAGCACTCAGTAGACAGAGAAAAGTGGATCTCTGTGAGATTGATGCCAACCTGGTCTGCTTAGCCAGTTACAGGCCAGCTGAGGCTAACAGGTGACCCTGTCTCAAAACAAAACAAAACAAAATAAAACACCAACAACAAAACAAAACAAAAAACAACGAAACAGTGATCTTCAACATAATTTTGTTGACGTTTATAGGTGATATTTAAAGTGTAGTCTTTTGAATTAATTGTTTTACCATCTAAGTTTCACTTTAGCATTGAAAATGTAAAGCACAGTATATTTGCTGTATAAATACTGGTCAATTGAACATCTAAATATAAACAGTATTTCAGTTTTTGAATTGAGCCATTTCTGCATTATTAACCAATGAAATTAATGAAATATAAATGCAAAGATTTGTGATCCTATAGTAATGTCCAATATATACCTTTGTGAACATAGGAAACTATCAAATTAAATTTATGTATTTGGAAAAATGTAATTTTCATTTTGTTTGCTGTGGTTAAATATTTTTGCATTAACTGGGTGGGCGTGGTGACTCACATCTTTAATTCCAGCATTCTCCATGAGATGTATGCTAGCCAGGTCTACATAGTGAGTTCTAGGCCAGCTCTGGCTACTGAGAGGCCCTGTCTCAAAAACACTTGTTTTTGTTTTTGTTTTTTTACTTTATCCAAGGTATTGTTTTAGAAAAATAAATCAACTTGTTACTGTATATCAATGTGCTGGTATAATAATGAAGTACAATAAGGTAAGTTTATTTATTTTTCCATTCTGGGCTAAAGATGGAATATAGGGCATTGTACATAGTGGACAAGTGCTATAAAACTGATTGATATCCTCAGCTCTGAAACAAATAAAATTTCAAATAAGTAAAACCTGAATAATAGAAGTCAAAATATAGCCAAGAATATTTTCAGATAATTGCAAACTCCTTTGCATTTATTATCAAGGTTTTCAAATTGCAAATATGGAAGTAATAAAATCCCAAAAGTAGATATCCAATAATTGTTTAAGGCAAGTTTTGCCATTTGTGTTTTAAAATATTTGAATCATCTTTGCTATAGATAATAGTGTTCTGTAGAAAAACAGAAATAAAGACTTTGCCATAGTACAATGTCTTTGTTAAATAGTCCAAATATTTTGTGTGGCAAGACTCAATGTAGGTAAATTTTTTTTTTTTTTTGGTCTTTTAGAGACAGGGTCTCCCTGTAGCCCTAGCTGGCCTAATGTTCCTAAACTGGAGAGATGACTCAGCAACTAAGAGAAGTGAACAGTCTTGCAGAGGACAAGGGTTTGGTTGTCAGCACTTACATGGTGGCTTATAACTGTCCTTAACTCCAGTTCCAGGGGATCCGGACAACCTCTTCTGTCTGCTGCAGGCATTGGACTATGCAAGTGTACTTATATACATGCAGACAAGAAACTCATAGATATAAATAAAAATAAGAAAAATATTTTAAAATGTTCCTAAAACTTTTAGGCATTGTGTCATGACTGACAGATCTTAATAAATTAATGTTTTGAGATTCACTAAATATGAGATAAATTTTTATATATGTGTGTATAAATAACTTTCATTGAGTATCATGGTCAATTTTAATGTTTATTTTTGGCCATGCAGTAAATTTTATTTCCAAAATCTACGCAAATCTTTGTCTGTGGCTATAGTTTTACTTATTAACCATACTCATCTTTTATTTGTTCAGGAATGTTTTCACTTTGCATGCTGTAGACAACCTCTGTCTCTACTACAGGAATTTAATGAGACTTAGTAATGAATGCAGACGTGCACAATTTTAATGTTTATTTTTGGCCATGCAGTAAATTTTATTTCCAAAATCTACGCAAATCTTTGTCTGTGGCTATAGTTTTACTTATTAACCATACTCATCTTTTATTTGTTCAGGAATGTTTTCACTTTGCATGCTGTAGACAACCTCTGTCTCTACTACAGGAATTTAATGAGACTTAGTAATGAATGCAGACGTGCACATGAACATGGGGATGTAGATATCACCAAGAGAGATGAACTGGACACCCAGCAAATCCATTCAGCATTTTCCAACAATGACAGCACACTGCAAAATGGAGTCTTCCGCTCTGAGGCTAACAAACATAGAGCGGACTCACCAGCTATTTCTAAGAAACGGATGGACTTTGGCCGTATACCTTCCCCATTAAACTGCGAAGAAGTAGTAGAGGGACGAAATCAGGAAAAGTTCTTAGGACAGAAGAGTGAAGACAGAAGGATAAGCAGCATCTCTACGAAAAGAATCTCGTTCGCAGAAACGGGAACGGCAAATTCTTCCATGAATAATCATGAAAATATCAAGCACAGCAAAGCCTAGTAAGACCTATAAATCAGTTTTCTTTTATAAATGTTATGTTTACTATATGTGTGAGAAGTGTTTGTGTATGTGTGGTATGTGTACAAATGTGTATGTCCATGTACACAGAGCCCGTAGGACATTGGGTATCCTGCTCTATTGCTCTCTCCCTTATTTCCTGCAAGCCAGGATCTATCACTGAGCCTGGAGCTATGCTGGCAGCCAGTCAACCCCAGCCATCCATTCTCTGGTCTCTACCTTCCATTACACTGAGGTTAGAGGTGCATGAGGCCACATCCAACTCCTTATGTGGCTGGTGAGAATTCTAACTGAAGCCTTCCTGCTTTCTCAGTAAGTGCTCTTACCCACTGAGCCATCTTTCCAGCCACCATGGATTTCAGTTTGTTTTCTGTTGCTGTGATAAACACTACGACCAAAACCAACTTGGAGAGGAAAGTGTTTATTTCAGCTTACAATCATCAGATTGCAGTCCTTCACTGAGGGAAGTCAGAGCATGAATTCAAGGCATGAACCTAGAGGCAGGAACTGAAGCAGAGACCATGAAGAACACTGCTTACTGCCTTGTTTTTCCTCGGCTTACTCAGCTTCTTTTCTTATACACCCCAGGCCTACTAGCTCAGGGGTGTTGCTGCCCACAGTGGACTGGGCTCTCTTATATAAATTAACAATAAAGAAAATGCTTTACAGATGTAGCCACAGTCCAGTGTGATGGAAGCAGTGTCTCAGCAAGGTTCTTCCTTCCCTGATGACTCTACTTAGTGTTAAGCTGACAACCAGCACATCGTGTGTTTTGTTTTTTTTTTAACCACACGCTATTTTTAAATTACTTTTTTCATGTTTACGAGTTTGGCTTATATGCATGTAAGTACATCAGGTGTGTGCAGTACCCTCAGAGACCACATAGGGCATCATATACCCTTGAACTGCAATTACAGAAGGTTGTGAACTCCCTTGTGGATCCTGAGAAACAAGCCCCAATCCTCTGCAAGAACAGCCAGTGCTGTTAAACTCTGAGCTGTCTCTAATCCCCATTTTTACTACTTTTGGTAACTGAATATAGTCAGTAGTACCAAGTATTAACTAGGCAATTTATCTCAATATTATCTTTCATATGGATTCTCCTAACGATTTAATTTTTAAATGTATTTCTAATTTTTGTGTATGAGTGTTTTCCTTGCATGTATGTAGGTGTATCACATGAATGAATACCTGCAGAGGATAGAAGAAGGCATCAGATCCCCTGAAACTGGAGTTACAGATAAACGTTAGCTACCACGTGGCTGCTGGGAACCAAACCCAGGTTCTCTGCAAGAATACCCAGTGCTCTTAACCACTGAGCCATCTCTTCAGCTATTTTCAATAATGTGTGTAAATTATTAATCATAGTACAGATTAACTTGATTAAAATTAGGAAGATATACCCAGTGCTCTTAACCACTGAGCCATCTCTCCAGCTATTTTCAATAATGTGTGTAAATTATTAATCATAGTACAGATTAACTTGATTAAAATTAGGAAGATAAAAATAATTTTGTAGTATCAGTTAATTTGAAATAAGTGTGAAATTATTTTTCTGATCCCAAACTTTTAAATAACTAAATTAAAGAAATAAAATTTAATATACACTCTCAGATAATATATTCTAAATAATCACATTATTACATTTTTAAAATATGCCTTTACAAGTGCTATCAATCTAGCAAACATATATTAAGTCTGTATGGAAGAGTTTGAACGTGTGAAACATTGTGTTCTTTGACTTAACAACTCTGTGAGGTAGGGTAATACTGTGGGTGATTAATCAAATAAAGCCCTTTGTAAGCATTAAAAACTGCTAGAAAGCTACTGGATGTCCTTAACTGGCTTTTGTTTTGACTTGTCAAATTCATTTCTTTGTAACTTAGTCTTAGTGCCAGACCAACAAGAGTAAGCTTCTCCTGTAAGGGTTAGTGCAAACAGAAACAGCTCAGAGTATCACAATAGCTCCGTCTTGCTCCTCCTAGTCTTTATTTCAGTGCTTGTCAGTATAAACAATAGTTTGTTTTCTGAAAGCTGTGCTTGCCTTATATAGCCTGATCTACTAGAACTGGTACTTATTTCCTAATGTAAAATTTTAACACATTAAAATTGTCTTTGATATTTCCTTATTTTTTTGCTATTTTATCTAATTGATTACCTTCATTCCAAACACTCAAATGTTCTTTATGGAGACACTGTAATGATCCATACTTAGATCATATCATCAGACGATAAATAAAAGAACCAAAGGATAATGAATACAAATGAATGAAGAACCAAAAATATAGGTGCACCAAAGCCCTAAAAGAGATATTGAACTTGGTTGTGTTGTCACTCAGGAAAACCCATGCTTTCTAAAAATTATTTGCATATACTCAAGTCAAGAGCAATTTTATAGTACGATTTATGAAGAAAAGTTAAAGATAAGGAAGACAGAGCTGTTTTTTTGCAATAATGAGGCTATTCTGAACTCAGTAAATCCTAAAGGCAGCTTTTTCACCTGCTTTCAGTGTGAGGAAAACAATCCATATGTCAGCACCTCTGAGGAAAGTACCCCTCGGTTCCCATGATTCTGTTTAGGATAACACAATCTTGCAATAGTTCCTTCAGAAGAAAGTCACAGTTGCAGCTGGTCTATCTGACAAACGTAAATGACGCTGCATCCGATCCAATAACTTTCTAAAAGGCCTTTCAATTTTTACTACTCAGTATTTTTACAGTTCTGGAAATTGAACTGATGGCCTGTGCATACCAGGTGAGCATACTACCATTCAGCTACAATCACAATTATTAATTTAAAATATTTTAATTAATATACAAAGAATTAGATTCCACTCTTATTTTATTTTTTATTATTTTAATTTATGTGTATGAATGTATTGCCTGCATGTATTTAAGTGCCCCTATGTCATGCAATGCCTGTGGAAGTCAGAAGAGGACATAGGATCCCATGAAACTGGACTTCAGACGATTGTTAGCCATCATGTGGGTACTGGGAATCGAACCCACCAGGTCTTCTGCAAAAGCAGCTAGTGCCTTATTTTATTTTTTATTATTTTAATTTATGTGTATGAATGTATTGCCTGCATGTATTTAAGTGCCCCTATGTCATGCAATGCCTGTGGAAGTCAGAAGAGGACATAGGATCCCATGAAACTGGACTTCAGACGATTGTTAGCCATCATGTGGGTACTGGGAATCGAACCCACCAGGTCTTCTGCAAAAGCAGCTAGTGCTCTTAACTGCTGAACCGTCATTACAGCCCCTCATTCTTACATTTTTAGACATAAAGTGATTTTGTTGACTCTCCTCCCCATGCCACCCTGTCACCCCTTGTACATGTAGTGTCATTTCCACTCTCAAGTCACATTTGTCTGGTTCCTTCCACCCTTCCCTCAAAACCTCCTTTTCACCATCTTTTAGTTCCCTTTATAGTATTATGACCACATTCACAACAACATATATTCATGTGCACAGGTATTAAAAGATGGAATCCACGTATGAGGGAAAACATGTAGTACGTACTTTATTGATTTGGATTATCTTGCTTAATTTACTAATTTCCAGATCCATCCATTTTCCTACAAGTTTCATAATTTCATTTTCCTATGTGACTGAATAAAATTCTCTAGTGCATATGTGTCCCTTCTTTAGTACTATTCATTTGTTGATGGATATCTAGGCTGTTTCCATTTCCTGTATAGTCTAACAGGCTCTTCACAGTATTGTCCAGGCTAGCCTCAGATTCATGACCCTCCTACTTCAACCTCCCAAGACCTAGGATTACAGGAATGCACCTCCACACCTGGAATATTTTCTTTATACCTATTATATTGCTTTGGTAAATCCTCATCTAATTTTAGAGCTGGATGAATGAAAGAATAGTTGAGTAAATGTGCATTAAATCCATAGCAAAATTTACGAAGCTTTGTTTGATCTACAAGGAGGAAACAATTACTTGGAATGTGATTATTTTTTCCAAGTATTATGAGTATACGCAGTTTTTGTTAAACCAGAACTTTCAGCCATTAACTTCAATGTTGTAGTCACAGAAAATTAAACTGAAGAACTTAACTGACTGTAGGTAAGATGGTGTGACAATGATGATGATGATTAAGATGGTGATGGTGACAGTGATGACGGTCATGTAATGAGGGTGATTATGATGATTGTAACCATGGCAGTACAATCAAGCACCAATAGAAAATAACTCAAATATTTAATATTTAATAACAAATATGAGAAAAAATGTATAGTCATGTCTGATAGAGTTTCTTTGTCATTGGTCCAAAGCATAAAGGAAAATTTTTATTAAGTTCAGCAATTATAAAATTATCAGATACCTTTCAAACAAATATTGGGGCATGGAATGTGTTCTCTATATACCTTTTTAGCACATCTCAGAAATTTGAAAAAATTAGACAGAATTTATTGCACTTTGATTATATCCTGTACCGTGTTAAAATTCTTGCAATAATCTGTGTGGAGAAGGGAACACATTACAACTAGGAAGAGATGCTTAGGGTCTGAACCTGACAAATAGTTTTGGGGCTGGGGAATGCTGAAAATTCCTAATGAGCTTATAAGAGGGTAGTGCATTTGCCACCGGGTGAGGAGGAAAATGAAGTTAGTTAGGAACTCCTGACATCCTTTCTCTTACCATGAATAGTATGAAGAATACCATTTCCTCCTCCTTTCCAAGGTGACCTCATGTTGATAGTTATCTAACCCTCCATTGTCAGGTCATATTGGCTCCTGTAAGTTTTTGCCCCCTCTTCTGCATCATCTTTGTCCAGCTCTTTCTGGACCAATATCCTCAGTGTTATACAATAATCTCTGTAACAGCCTTCATCTTTAAAGTAATTAAAACAAAACAACAAAAAATTAAAACTGTGAAACTAAATCTCTCTCTGTATCTCTCTCTCTCACTCTCTCTCTCTTGCTCTCTCCTTAATGACAATCATTAAGCAAGGAAGGTTTATATTTTTTATGAGGTTTTATGTTTTTGTTGCTCACTATATAGCTTATGAAGACTTCTCTACCTCTGTGTATTCATGCATACTAATTGTTTCCTTTCTTCTGATTTTTAGTATGGCAGCTGTGCTAATCCAAGCCCACTGGCGTGGTTACACTGTACTCAGACAGATTAATGTTTCTCCAAAGATGCATCCTACTTTAACAGAACCCCTGCATAATACCTACATCAATAATCAGACTACTTCAAGTAAAGAAAGACGAGAAAATGTTATGACTGTCCAAGAACAGAGGGAGAAGGCTGCCCTTCTTATTCAGGTTAATTTCAATGTTTTGGTAGTAGAGTTAGTAAAAGAGGATGAAGTCCTCATCTTTCACCATTACTCTGTATTTAAAATGTTTCTGCAATCTGGTCATGGTAGTGCACAGCATTAAATCTAACACTCAGGCGGATGCCTATGAGATCAATGTGCCTAGAGAGGTCCAGTCCAGCTGGAGCTACATGGAGACCCTATATCTAACAAAAAAAAAAGGTCATGGCAAACCACACAATGATATTTAAAACCTCCTCAATATACAAGTCTTTTATTTCTTTGGTTATATTTATTCCAAAATATCTTATTTTTGAGGCTATTGTGAATTTGTGAATGGGATTGTTTCAGCAATTCCTTTCTCAGTGTGTCTTTGGTACATAGGAAAGCAGCTGATTGTTTTATAAATTTCCAATTTTTATCTGCTTTATTTTTATTGATAATTTAATAAGTGCATACATTATTTTAATCAAAACTAACCCAATTCCTCTTCTCTAATTCTTCTACTGTCCATCTACCATTTTTCCCTTTCAACTTCATGTCTTCTTTTTCTTAACATGTTGAGTCTACTAGATGCTGCTCTTAGAGCTGATAGACATGCTCAGCAAGATAAAAAAACTAACATATGAAAACCAGTAGCCTTATAAGATGATCATGTGGTTTCTGTCCCTAAATCTATTTATGTGGTAGATTATATTTATTGATTTACATATGTTGAACTGTCCCTGACTCTCTGAATGAAGCTGACTTGATCATGCTGTATGACCATTTTTATGTATTCTTGAATTAGGTTTGCAAGTATTTTACTGAGAATTTTTGTATCTATGTACATCAAGGAGATTAGCCTTTAACTTTCTTGTTTTGTTCTTAGGTCTTTGGTTTTGGTATCAGGGTAATACTGGCTTCATAAAAACATTTTGAAGGTATTTCTTTTCTGTTTTACAGAATAATTTGAGGAGTAGTGATATTAGTTCTTCTTTGAAGGTCTGTTAGAATTCTGAGCTGACTCTACCTGACCCTGGGAATTTTTTAGTTGGGAGATTTTTAGTTATTGCTTCTATCTCAAATGTACTACTTGTAAAATCAGCTAAGGTCTGTTTTGTGAAAGGTAATCATTTGGCCTAATCAGTAGCTATTCTAGATGTTCAAAAATCTAACCTAAAATTTTAAAGTCCTTAAAAATGTCTGTTTAGCTTAAAATCTTAGAAATCAAAACATGAAGGTGGCAGACGCAATACTGGGTTGGAAGGGTACAGTGGGGACAGTAAGGACAGTGACGGGGGAAAAGAGGATGGGAGGAGAATCAGTCCAAACAAACATCTATGGAAAGGATGTAAGAAGGCTAATTAGAAAATAAGCAAAAAAATAAGTTAATATGAAAATACTTGTCTCAATTCCACCATGACCAGATGGTCAAATGCATTAGAACTTGATTGAGTACCTTTCTCTTTTTAATTTTTTCACTCAGAGATTTTGTTTGTTTGTTATTTTTCCTTTATTTTGCCAGGTACCATTCTAGGCTTAGGAAATAAGACTGCAAACAGACAAGGGTTCTACTCTTATGAATTTAAGGGGCAAACCTAAGCTGACTATATACTTTAAAAAGGATCTATAGGCATTCTGTACTGTGTCAATTAAATAATATTAATTTTTTAAATAGCATTTTCCTTTATTCTTTCATTCTGTATACAGTCCTTGCCATAAAACAAAATCAGCATACATTATGTCCAAATATGTGGTATAATAATTAACATGTTATTGAAAGATAACAGAAAGAGGATATTATAAATCAGAATGAAAATGTCAAAGGGAAGTTTATAACTTCAGGTAGGATATATATGGGAGACCATAAAAGGTGATATTGGAGTGAGAGAGACAGCTATTGGATGACTGAGGGAAGAAAATCCCAAGCAAGGGAATATCAGTTTTAAAGACCTTGGCCTGGAAGCATAGTTACAGTGCTCAAACAACGGATGATGCATTACATTTATAAGCCATAAGTCATTGTATACATCTTTTACATTTACTCTTTTGGGATGAAATGACAGTGGAAGCCTTTGAAAAGTAGACTAACATGATAAAGTTCATGTTCACTCTATGCTGAAGCTGTGTTGTAGGAGGGCAGAGGACAATCAGGAGGCCAGTGCAATATCTGGTGTTGCACTGGTTGCATGGACCAGGAGGTTAACACTGGATATTATGCTAAGTGTATCCCATTCCAGAATGTATAATTGACTTACCTTGAAGTTGTGCACATATACTTTGGAAGTGGAGACTGATGACGTTGGTGCTTGAAGCTGAGTTGTTTGAGAGGAAAGATGTGGGGAAGCCATGTAGATGTTGGGTAAAAACAAATGATTGGGGAAATAACTTTAAAATTCAGAGATTACATTTTCATTCACCTTCCTAGTTTTTACTGTTAAGGGCATAGTTTTCCAGAGAAACACGGTTCTAATAAAAAAATAAATAAACATTATTTTAGTTTACTTAATTATTTTAATTTACTTAATTATTTTAGTTTGCTTAATTTCTGTATACCATATTCCTCTTGAAAGCAGTGAACATCCAAAGCATTTACTAATTCCTGATCAATGGTAAGAAGAGCAGAGAACAATCTGTTCAAGACAACTCTGAGAAAAAGAAATATCAGTTACTATATAAAAATATTATTCTCATGTATAAAATTGTACAATCCCTCTTGCCATTTTTGGTTGACCAGTGCCTTTTGAGCATTACCAGGAAGTGATAGTCAACATTTGTTTGATTCTTCTCAATGCAGAGAAGCTGATAACTTTCAGAAAGTATCTAGTTCTGTGAGTTATGATGTTTCTGTTGAATACCAGTTGTTTGATCCTTTTGTGTCTGTAATAAAAAGTAATCATAATTTCACCTTCTTAAGCAATTTAGGGTAAATATATTGTTAAACATCATGATAACAAACTTACTGAAGTCAACCTTAATTTCTCTTCTGCTGTGTCTATTCTTCTACTTTCTTAGATAATATCATCTTTAAAAAATACTGTCTAAGCACCTAGGGACCAGACCATAATAGATACCCCAGAAAGAATCTTAGGCTGAGAAAGATAAACAAGATTTCATGAAAGATATGCTTTTGTGATCATATTTCAAGTTTTTTCTTGCCATTTATGGTTTTTCTCAAAGTTCTAGTCAGTAAGTGAAAGGAATGTCTATCATTTCCATATCTGCCTCATCAAACCTCCCACAAGCACTTCTTCATATTACTTTCTATTTCTGGTTGAAATGTTATCAGCCTCTTAGGCATCCTTAGAAGCTATCTGTTGAGAAATAAAGGTCCAAACCTTGGATGCCTGGGTCATTTCATGCTAAAGTAAATCCCATTGGCTCATTTATTTCTCTGTGTTTTTTCTGTGATCAAGATATGGACTCTTTCAGATTCATACATCTTGGGATCTGTTCATTACTGTATACACTCTACCCCAATTTAAAGTCTGTATATACATCATGAAAAATACGAGTAAACAAAGTACATATGTGTTTGTTTATGTTGATAGAATAGTATGCTATTGTGAAATTGTAGTAAGAAAAGAACTAGAGTATTAGAAGGATAGAGGAGGGACATGGTGAAAGATTTGTGATAGATTTTTTAAAATATTTTATTATTTTTTATTTTATGTGCATAATTGTATTACTTGCATGTAGGTAGGTGTACCCACGTCACCCAATGCCTGCGGAAGTCACAAGAAGCTGCTGGATCTCCTGGAACTGCAGTTACAGATGGTCATTAGCTGCCATGTGGGTGCTGCAAATCAAATCCAGATCCTCTGCAAGAGCAGCTAGTGCTCCTAACTGCTAAGTTATCTCTCCAGCCCCTTGTGAAAATTTTTTTTAAATGACAAAACAAATGTCATGTGCTTGGGCTGGTAGCTTATGGTAGGTAGAGAAGAAAAAGATGTTAGGTTTGTCTAATAGCGATAGAATTGTTTGATGAGAGAACTGACTTAAGTGTGTGGGAAAGATAAATTTATTGTAAATGAAGGAAAAGTTACACCTTTAGAGTACATAATTAAGATAAAGATGTGAACACTATCATTCTTACCAATACACACACATACACACACACACACACACACACACACACACATCCTTCCTAATAAACTGAATCAAGATGGATGGGCATTAAATTCCTTGTCCTAAATAGATTCATGGATAACATGTTGATAGTTCTTCTGATAGTGCAGGGGTCTATAAAATTATTATTCCAGCAACATGAATTCAAACACACATACACATATATATATGCATATTTGTATAGTCATATTTCTCAATAAGTATATGCATCCTTTAAGTAAAAACACCCAAAATGGCTATGTAGTAGCTCTAGCCCTGCTGACAATTTACACTTGGACCATTCTGAGCAATAATGAATCAGTGTATGGGTTCATTCTACTGAAGGCCTTGATTAAAGTTGAGTTTCCATTTCTTTTACTAGGTCTGTGCCTAATCTCAACCTCTTATCATTACACAACAGCAAAAGTGGGTTACAGGTTAAAAACAAAACGCTTGAAAAAATAGAATCAGAGTAAGGAACGCTTGTATCATTAATTTGTTTTTAACTAAATATTCCATTTATTCTTTGAACATATCAAATATGTGTAAAATGTATCTTGATTATATTTACTTCCACCCTCCCCTCCAACTTCCCACAGAACCAGCTTTTCAACATTTCCCTCACAACTTCATGTCCTCCTTTATTTTCTCAGCCCACTGGGCTCATGAGTGCTGCCTATAAGCATAGATTCTGGGTCATCACAGGGACAATGTGACCTACCAGTGGCCACATCCCCTTCCCCCAAACTTTCTCTGCCTCCCTCATCAGCTACCACCTGCTATAGCTCCTCATTTAGGAATGAGGACTTTGGAGACCATCCCCAATCTATGCTATTGTTTTCTTAATATTTTATTAAGATAATTGTTTTCTTAATATTTTTATTTTATTTTATGTGTATGAGTGTGTTGTCTACATGTATGTAAGTTCATCTGTGTTGTTCAATGCCCACAGAGGTCAGAAGATGGCGTTGGAGCACCTGCAGATGGTTGTTAGCCACCCTGTGGGTGTTGGGAAACCTGGGTCCTCTGCAAGAGCAGGCAGTGCTCTTAAACACTGAGCCATCTTTCCAGCACCCATGCTAGAAATCTTAACTGGCTTGATATTCTACAGGTATTGTGCAGGTTACCAAGTTCATGTTTGCAGCAGGCATCTCATATCCAGAGGAAAGCACTTCAGACCTCCTTCCTATTCCCCTTCTCTAACATTATCTTTTCACCCTCTTTTGTGATATTTCCTGAGCCCTGGAGGTAGGGTAATGTATGAGTCCTGTACTGAGTCCTGGCTGAGTACTCAGTCACTTGTTCACAGCACTTTGAACAACTATGAGTCTCTGTAATTAATCACTACTCACTGCAATGAGAAGCTTCTCTGACCAAGATTTGGAGCAGCACTTATCTATGAACATTAAATGTTTAAAAGGCAGTTTGAGCTGTTTGAGGTGGAAAACACCAGTAGGATATGCTGAAGAGGCAGAGGCAGGAGGATCAAAAATTCAAGGCTGGCTTGGGTTACCCCTTGCAGGATGTGGTGGCCCATGCCTTTAACCTTTAATCCCAGCACTTGAGAGGTTGAGTCAGGTCAGTCTCTGAAATGAAGGCCAGCCTGGTCTACATAGCAAGTTCCAAGCCAGAATAGGCTACAGGGAGACCCTGTCTCCACAAAAAAGAAAAGAAAAGAAAAGAAAAGAAAAGACAGTTTGAACGCATAACCATTTCAGAAAACAGTATCAATCAATAGGTTCTCCACTAGGACCTATGACTTCTCTTTCCTAGTCATGAGTTTTAACCATGCTTATAGTGCTAGTGATGAATTCACTCCTGTGCAGCAGATCTCAAGTCTAATTAAGAGAGCAATTGGTTATCTCCACAGACAGTGCTGACATTATTGCACCAATAGGCAAATCTTGTTTGGAAGGTCAGTCTTCTACCATACTGGGTCCAGTGTTAGATAAGACCATTGATGTCTTACTCTCCCCCAGCCTCAATAACAACTTCCAGCATGAAGAAAGGGAGTTTCCTGATCAATTTCAAACTGATTTCTCTCTGTTATCCATTACATGAAAATGTCTTCTTTTCTGTTTCTACTAAGTTATATTGTTTAAGTTTATGCACTATTGCCATACTTTTGTTTTTGAGACATGGTCTCCCTGTAGCCACAGCTGGCCTGGAACTTGCTATGTAGACCAAACTGGCCTCAATCTCACAGAGATTCACCTGCTTCAACCTCCCTAGTACTGGGATTAAGGTCTGTGCCACCATGCCTGACCCTTATTAATATAAATTTCTTCTCATATTGTGACAACTTTTAACTCTCTCAAGAAGATAAAAATTGATAGAGTAGGTTGAAAAACCACAGACATATTAGCTGTTCATTTTTAGATGAAAAAATTAACGGAAATTAGTTAGCTATATTTTTTAACATTATATGTTCAATGTCATATGGCTTCCTTACTTGGTAGACTAAGTAAATAGAATTGATAGAAGAAAAGTGGAAAGGAAATTAGAATAATTAATATTTAATCAATATCCACTATGTGACAGGTAAGTGCTCATTACTAGATATAAATTTCTAAGTTAGCCTAAAATTTGTGCTTATCACTGTTTTATATATATGTATATTATAATTTAATCTTTATATCGATCATGTGTGATTTTATGTTTTATTTTTGTGATCTATCTAGTTTAAGCAGAGTCATCTGTGTGACTGTTGCAAGTATCCACTGGAGTCTGGTGAGGTCACCAGTGGATACAGAACTGAAGGCAAAGAGTACCCCATGTCTTCATTATGCCCATGAAAAATAGTTCACTACTGAGGGATAGGGCCCCTGAGTCCCTCCATCCATGCCTGGCTAATTATAGGCCTATTCTTGTGTAGACCCAGTACAGTCAACATTGTTGTCGAGAATTCATGATTACAATGGCTGAATTTTGCTTAGAAGACGGCATTTCAACATCCCCTCTCCCTGTCTTTGGACAATTACAGTCTTTCTAATCTCTCTTATGCAATGTTCCCCAGGTCAAAGAAGGGAAGATGCGCATGTCTTATTTAAGGCTAAAAACTCAAACATCACTATTAAAGCACCTTGTCCAGCCATGAGTCTCTGCTTTAATTGCTGCTCACTGGAAAGGGAAGCTTCTCTGATCAAAGCTAAGAATGATAATTCTTATCTTGGAAGAAGCAGGAAAAGATCTATGCATGATGAGGTTTAACTGACACAAATTCACCCATGTAGAAAAAGTAGGACAAGACTTGGAAGTAACAGAACACCAAGAATGTTTGAGAAGGACATCTCAGGGATGAGAGAAATAATTTAATTTCGTATCTGAATGTGAATGTTGAATGGGTAGAGCAGTTGAGTAACTGGCCTTTCTGATAGTGCCAGCCAGATCAGATGGTAATACACCTATTCCTTGAATATAGTCTGAACATTTTGTTTATTCTGATTCTCAGTGCATTATACATATTAATAATATGTTATTAAAATTGGATTACTGAAAACTATATAAATCATATATACTGCATAAATTTGTTGATGTTTATGTCTATAATACATTATGTTTATAATACAGACACGTGGTAATTTTCATAGATAAACAGTAGGATGCAAATCACATTTACCTCATCCCACTCTCTAGATACATATAAAGATACTTATTTCCTGAGGCTTCATGTTACTTGGAATACAGGCTGTAGAGCTTCTCTACTCAAGAATTATTAAGAGACCTGAATATTTTTTGTTTCCTTGATCTGTGCTTACTTTATTTTTAGCTAAAATTAATTGTTATGGGTCATAATTCTACCTCCCTAAAATAATCATTTGTATACACTGAGGTTTTATGCCCTTTGTCTACATAATAATTTGAAAATGAGCAAAATTGGCTTTTCTTTGTATCTCTTTCTTCTTAGTTTAGAATGAGTCCTGGAGGAATTGTCAGATAATTGATTGGTTGACCTACATGTGCATTTGAGGGAGTTTTAAAGATTCTTCTCCGCTTAACACAAAGACAGTCTCTAGAGATTCAGACATATGCAGCCGTTTAATTTATCTTGCAGTTTTACATGTCACATAAAGTTCAAAAAACAGATTATTGAGCCATTAAACTAAGTTCTAAGATGTTTTATCTTCCTAATGGGATAACACAGAGAATCTGGTTTAGGGTTTGATCTGTAACCCTGAGTAACATACTTCACATTTTTGTTCAGGCAGTTTGGAAGGGCTTTATTTTACGAAAGAAACTGGCGACAGCTCTAGAGGCTATCAGGAATGAAGAATCTGGAGAAGAATATGAAGAAATAGATTTAGAGGATTTTACATTCGATGAAGTAAGTGCCAACTTTAGCAATCAAATATTGCTCTTAAAATTTTTTTTTGCTATTCTCTCTTAAAGCTCACCCCCCAAAATGGATGCTGCAAATGTTATAGGTACTTGCTGTCCTCAAATACAGTTCTACCATTTGTATATTCTGTGCTAATTTCTAAGGTGTTTAGCCTAGTAACATTATAGTATAGTTTTTTTAAGCAGCTTTTGAGAAATTATCCAACTACTTTCCTAACATCTTATCTTGCACTCCTAGTGGTCATCGAATAGTTACTTTTGTACCTTTGACCAGTTTCTCCAGAAGCCTTATTTAACTGTTTAACCCCAGGGCAAATTTAGGGAATCAACAATAATCTAACATGAATGTATGTTTGACCTCATTCAAATGTATAGTCTTCCTACTAATGCTCAAATTTTAGTCTGATATTCAGTAATCTAGGATTGTAGGTGGAAGATAGTTGTCATTTTTCCATAGAATCTTTTAAACTTGAATAATTCCTCATTTTTTCTTTGTATTTCATGACTATCATACTTTTAGTAAGAATAAAACTCTCCCTTTATTCATGTTCTAAAATATTAAGTGGAAAATTCCAGAAATAAACAATATACACAATACACAATTCCTGTGTAGTATGACGAAATCTCCCGCGATCATACTTCATCGTCTCTGGGATACAAGCCATCTGTTTTGCCCTTTACATCATGTATCCGACATATATACCCTGCCTGACCATGAGCTACTTTGCAGTTTTTTTAGTTATCAGACCAGATGTTGCAGAATAATAGTGCTTGTACTCAAGTTCAGCTTATTTTACTCTTGTACTTGGAGTGCAAATTTAGTGTATTTTAATTATGAAAGTATGTGTAGAATTGCCCTATTTTATTATTCATTATTATGTTGACTCTCTTGTTAATAATTAATAAATTAAACTTTACTATAGATATGTGTGTATAGGGAAAAATAGTATATAAAGGACTTGATGTTACCCATGTTTAAGGTACCCAGTGAGGGCCTTGGATGTTGTTCCTAGTAGATAACTCCTAATGTCATTTTGTGCATAATGATACATCAGTGTACTATTGACACTTAATAATAGTGTCAATTTTCAATCAAGAGACTTAAACTGTATGTTATATATATTACCCATTTTTTCTGCCAGACATAATTGAAAAAGAACAGAAATTTCATTGAAATGCCATTTCATTATAATGTATCAAAATACTATAAAGTTGAAGCAATTGTTGACAAAACACTGTTGCTCTTACCTGGATCCTTTCCTAATTATTGTCACACTTAATCAAAGAAAGTCTACCTCTGGCATTCAAGATTATTTGTTAGGATATGAGGCTGATTTTTAAGTCTGCTTCAGATCAGCAGTTATGACAAGTATTTCTACTTGATGCATGGATAATATAATAGTAACATTTATAACCACTCCACACCCTTTTGTTTTTCAAATCTCAAATACTCAAAGTAATTGGTTTCTTAAAATTCTTTTATAAATTTGAATACTTAATATGGAAAAGTGGATTTTTGTTCTATTCAATAATAAATTTCCTGCTATCTTGAAAGCATGTTGACTTATTTTTTCAGGTGATTTTTTAAAAAATAAAATTTTATTAATTCTTTGAGAATATCGTATAACGCGCTTTGATCATATTTTTTCTTCCCTCGTGCCCTTTCAGATGCATCCCCACCTGCCAAGCCATTCAACTTTGTGTTCCTCTCCCACCCACCCCCAACTGAGTTCAATATGTGCTTCTCAAATACTCTTGTGTGTGGAACATGCCATGGAAAGAAGTTGTGCAAGGGTCACACCATTAAACAAAACTGACTCCTCCTGTCTCAGCAGCTACTGTACACTAATAGCTCCTCAGCTAGTGTGGGGCTCTTTCTTAGTCTCACTTGAGCTTGAGTAGGTCTCATGCATCCTGTGGCACTTCTGTGAGTTCATATGTGCAATCACCCTGCTGTCTGGAAAGCACTGTTTCCACGTAGTTGTGCATTACCTTTGACTCTTAAAATCTTCCCACCGCCTCTGGGGCCCGAGCATTCTGCACTGTATTATTATCTGCACTTTGGCTAGCTATGACAGGTCTCTGTGATAACTGCCTTCTGCTGCAGAAAGAACCTTTTTATGGAGGGTTGAGGGCTGCACTAATCTATGGGTACACCAATAAGTCATCAGATTCATTTTATGACTGTGTTTATTTAGTAGAATATTAATAGTAGTCTCCCTTCTAGTGCCTATCACCCATCTATCCACAGGTTCTGTACCCTGATACTGGTGCCATACTGATACAAAGTATGGGTTCCATCTCCGTCATGGGCCTTAAATCCAATCAGAGTGTGGTGGGTTAGTCCCATAATATAGTGTTACTACTGCACTGGTGGGAATAGCTAGCCAGATCTGTTGTTTTTGTAGTTTATGGTGTTCTCAGCTGGTTAAGATTGTTGCTTACAGCTTTCTGCTAGCATGAATAACATCTTCTGGCACTATGGAAGCTAGCCAGTAGGGCACAGCTACTGTACACTAATAGCTCCTCAGCTAGTGTGGGGCTCTTTCTTAGTCTCACTTGAGCTTGAGTAGGTCTCATGCATCCTGTGGCACTTCTGTGAGTTCATATGTGCAATCACCCTGCTGTCTGGAAAGCACTGTTTCCACGTAGTTGTGCATTACCTTTGACTCTTAAAATCTTCCCACCGCCTCTGGGGCCCGAGCATTCTGCACTGTATTATTATCTGCACTTTGGCTAGCTATGACAGGTCTCTGTGATAACTGCCTTCTGCTGCAGAAAGAACCTTTTTATGGAGGGTTGAGGGCTGCACTAATCTATGGGTACACCAATAAGTCATCAGATTCATTTTATGACTGTGTTTATTTAGTAGAATATTAATAGTAGTCTCCCTTCTAGTGCCTATCACCCATCTATCCACAGGTTCTGTACCCTGATACTGGTGCCATACTGATACAAAGTATGGGTTCCATCTCCGTCATGGGCCTTAAATCCAATCAGAGTGTGGTGGGTTAGTCCCATAATATAGTGTTACTACTGCACTGGTGGGAATAGCTAGCCAGATCTGTTGTTTTTGTAGTTTATGGTGTTCTCAGCTGGTTAAGATTGTTGCTTACAGCTTTCTGCTAGCATGAATAACATCTTCTGGCACTATGGAAGCTAGCCAGTAGGGCTGAAGCTTCAAGGTCAGTACCCTATTGATTTCTTTATGTTCTATGCCTCAAGCACGAGTTTTCTTTAGAGTAGTGACTTACTGTCAGATTCTAGAGGGTAACAAATCTTGGCAATAACCTGTAACAATTTCCATTTCTATTATGATAGTGCTGCCCCCTAAATATATAAAAGTATAAAAACAAGCTTTTTGAGTTATCCACAGTAGAAAGATAACATGAAGCTTTCCTTGATGCTGATACTATACATATTAGTTACATTTAATTCAAGTATTTGGGGTTTTGGCATAGTATGCTCAAATGCTATATCGCTCTTTTATTTAACCACTTTGTTGAAATTACCTCTTATTTTTAATAGATCACCAGCTTAAACTTCTAAATATCCTGTATGTATGACTTTATATCATCTAATGAGAGTTTTCTTCCTGTTTTTAAATTCTTATCTAATTTTAAAACCTTTTTTCTTACTTTATTGTCTTGATTACTGTGTCCCATAAATTTGAATCATAATCATCATAACAAACAGAGTTCTATTTCTCTCTTTCAAGATGAAATCTTTTAATATGTAATCTCTAAGTAAAATGGTTCTGGTCACTGTCTTGTAGAAACTCTTTATGTATTAAGGAGTTTACCTTAACATTTTAGAGGTGATGATGATGATGGTGATGATAATTGTGTTTTCAATTTCATCAAGTGCTTTTCATACAAAGCCTTATATTCCTAGAGTAAACCAAATTAGGTATAATGCTGTTTTGAACATGTTGGTAGCTTTGACTTGATGAAATTTTTTTTTTGTATTTGTACCATAAAATGCTGAGTATGAAGATTTTCTTTCTTGTATAAATTTTTCAGGATCTGGTCTGAAAGTTCTGTGGATCTTAGGTATTTGGTTGAAAAGTATTTTCTCTCTTCCTATTTTATGAAAAACTTTAATGTAGGATTAGTACTGCTTCCTAAAAGTTTAGAGACAAGTTCTGGGTAAATCTATGGGATCGGAGAAAGTGCTCAGTGGTTAAGAAAAGTGCACTGCTGTTCTAGAGAATACCTGTTAGGTTCACAAGTGCTTGTAATTCCAGCTTCAAGAGATTGGATGCCCTCTTTCTGATTTCCATGGGCAACTGCACACATACACACACACAAAATAAATACATTTGAAAATCAGGTTTCTCAGCATTTTAAATACCACTAAAGGACAGATAAAAGCTAATGAGCACTCTACAAGTCGTAAAGAGATTGCTATTAAAATATTTTGTGTATTATGTGATTCTATGTGCGTTCCTGTATGTGTGCGTGTGGCCCTACATGTGGAGGACAGAGGTTGATGTCTGCTTTCGTGGTTATGATCCTCTGTAGCCCTCCAACTTACTTTTTTGAGACTGTTCACTTTCTGTTGCTGTGATAAAACTCTGATAGAAGAAGGACATCTGGGTTCAAATGCTTGACTGGATAGGACCTAACATATGTGGAGGAATGCATGAGGTCCAGTGGGCAGGTGTGAGGGAACATGGATAGCGGACAGGGGTCTAAATTTGATGACAAACTATTGTATGAAATATTCAAAAGCTCAATAACAAATTTAAAGACCAGAAAAAAAGGAAATACTAAAAACAGCATAGGACATTCATTTCATTTGACTTACAGCTTATAATCCATCATCAGAGGAAGCCAAGGCAGGAACCTAGAAGCAGGAACAAACCAAAGGCCAGTGAAGAGGATACTTACTGGCTTGCTTCCCATGGTTTGCTCAGTTACCCTCTTTATAGAGTCCAGACCCATCAGCTCAGAGATGGCACTGCCCTCAGTGCGCTTGGCCCTC